AAGAATTTATTGACAAATCAGAATAACAGATTTAATATTACACAATTTAATTGAATTATTTATATTAGTAATCTAAACGTTATCATTACACATAAATATTTTTATTATATAGTTATAAATTATAGATATATAGTAACAATAAATGCTAATTTATAATCACTCTTTATAATTATATTCTACAAGTATGTATATATCTGATATATACTTGCACTTTTTATTTTTCTAATATACTGTATACCACAATTAACAATTCATATATCTAGTTAATACAAGTATAGAACAATAAATATTGCAGATTAAAATAAAATCAGATTAAAATGAAATATGTGACTTCTCTTGCTTCTCTTTAAAGCTTATAAAACCCACTTATACTCTTTTTTTAATAAACCTAATACTAAACTCTAACTCTAACTCTAACTCTAAAAAATATCTCTCAAAATTTTTTAAATTGTCTCTAAAAAATATTAAAATTTTATTTTAATCTGTTACAATAAATACAATTGCTATTATTATACATATAATTAAATCAAAGTAAACCTATAAAGAATACACAAAAAAATCATTATAACAAAAGCAATTTTATCTATAATCTATGCTTATCAACTAAGTAGATAACTTTAACTATAAAATTAACTATAATATATACCCAACTCTATTGCTAATTATTGGCCTTTTTGAAACATGTTAAATATTGTAATCTATCATCTTGCAGTAGCTATATTGATTAGAACTATATTTTTTTTGATCAATTTTTTTACTAATTGGTTGTCTTTTTTATCATTTTTGTGACTAGATAATTTTGGTCTACCTTTAGTTGTAGCTATATATAAGTTCTTAAGCATAATAGTTAAAGGTATATTTTTTTTATCAGAATTACTGTCATTAGAATTCCTGTTTTCAGAATCACCATCTTCAGAATTCCTGTCTTCAGAATCACTAGCTTTAGAATTATTTGTTTGTTAATTTCGAACTAACTCTTTTTTCATATAAGGGTAATAGGGGTATTATGACAAAGTAGGTATTGTGACGAATCGCGATATCTTGTGATCCCGTGATCAGAATTGAACGAAATTTACACCATTCGACCCGTCTTAATGAGAGGAATCGAATGGTGTAAGTTTTATTTGTTCATGCCCACCAAATTATGAGATAATAAAATTAATGTACTTTTTATATTATATTACAATTAATCACTTTTGTGATGCAGTGATCGTAATCGAACAATTTTTATGCCATTCAATTCCTCTCATTGAGAGGAATTGAATAATATAAGAATCATCCAATTTGGTTCACTGAGCCACGAGATATTCATTTTTAAGCCATATAGGTATGTAGAATACATATAAAATACTATAGTAAAAGGGTATTGTAACGAATCATAAATATCTTGTGGCCCTGTAGTCAGAATCCAATGATTTTTATACCATTCGATTCCTCTCGATGAGAGGAATCAAATGGCATAAAAATCGATAAATTCCGATCACAGGGTCATGAGATATTTACGATTCGTTACAATACTTTCTGGTACAAGAAATCTCTTATTTTTTTAATGAAACTTTAGATTAACATATCTCAGGATCTAGTAATCAGAATCGAATAATTCTTATATCAATTGATTCAGCATAATGAGACGAATCGAATGATACCAAAATTATTCGATTTTAATTGATAAATCACATGATACATTTGAAATTTTGTTAACTTCGTCATAATACCCTTAATGCTCTTATATTATCTAAATAGGCTTTGATCATCTGAACAAAATTCTTATTATAATATAAAAGACACTTGTTTGTTGTAGTGTAAACCAATCCCTAAACTTCTCCATAGAATAACTGTTCTTTTACAAAGTTTTCTTCTAAAATACTTTGCTCATTATTGTTATTTAATAGCAAAATACTAACTAATATAATTTGTTCTCTTATCCATATTAGAATCTACATTATCTTTTATAAATCGCTATCTAAAACAATTATGTTTTAACATTGTATTGTTATGATACTCTATGGAGATTCATTGAATATTAAACAGTTATATATTAAATTAAGCTACTTTTGTGATGTTTATAAGATGAAAAAATGTCTGCAAACAAGTACCTGTTTTTGTTGTAATAAACAAGTACAACTATAGGATCTATTAGTAAGTAAAAAAACTATATAGCTTGTATTACTTTTTGTAATTTGGAAAATGTTCCAAATTTCTTCAATTTTTGTATGATCTAAGTGTTCTAAAAGAAATTTTGTATACAAGAATACATTGTCTAATTCATTCTTAAAATTTTATTTTCAGATAGATTAGTTATAAGTAAACTTTTAATTTCTTCAATATTAAAATAATATACTATATAAAAAATACTTTTTTTTAATTTAATTAATTAAAAACTGTATAATATTTGGCTGTAAGTAACAATTAATAAGTAACTCAATTTTAACTCTTTTAACTTCTTTCTGACGATTACTAAAACCAAGTTTTCCTACTAATAGAAAACCAAATTTTTTTGTTGAAAAGTCGTGGCTTACATTACAGTTTGTCTAGAAGTCAATGTTATCTGCTCTTCAGTACTCCTCTAAAAAGATATTTAGTATACAAGCCATTATACAAATTAACTGGCAAGAGGCACCCTTGTATAAAAAATCTTGGTAGAGTGTAGGCAAAGAGATTACTTTCGTCAATGAAGTTTCTAGGTTGTTACTTCAAAAAAAAATATAGAGAAAACAACAAAACTTTTTCTTTTCTAAAGCCACACTCTTTCTTTTGGGTTTGGTGGCTCCTCTCTTTCTTTTTCTTGCCCTCCTGTCAGTCTTCTAAAATTTTCTATAAAAAGTAGAGATTTGGCTTATCTCTCCAAAAAATCAACATTGTTTACTTTCTAAATTTAGACAGATTTAGTAGAATGCAACTATGTGACATGTCTGTTTACAAATACAGTGCTACTTCAAATAAGTTGGATCAGAACCTCCGGTTAAAAAGATATTCGAAAGTGGTTATAAGTCAGAAGAACTTTATACATTAAGGCGAAGCTTTACATTAGAGATATACAATTGTTGCATTTGTTATATAATTTTTTAACCTTGTACAGGTTATAATAGTGCATTCATATTATGAAGAAAGATGCAATTTCTCTTAACTTTATATCTTGGTTCTATAAAAATTTTTTATTTTTTTCCGTTTTTTCTTTTTTAGGTTTTTTTATTTTTTATTTACTTCGCTTTTTTTTCTTTTCTCTTTTTTATTCATTTCCTCTTCTTAGTCATAGTTCGTTTTCATTTTTTTATAGATTTTTTTTTTAGTCATCTGTGATCTGGTAGAACAGAGTTGCTTTTAGGCCTAAGTTAGGTTTCACACCACAATATGAAACCGAGTAGAGTCAGACTTGTTATTTGAAATTTATGTATT